TACGCCGTCGCCAGCGACTCACAGCAGCCCAGCTCCAGGTTGAGCTGTTGTTCAGCATCTTAGCTGTGGAGGGCAGTGTCACTGGCCCACATATGTGGGATCCGAACCGGGGCCCTCTGGCATCCCAAGCCAGTTCTTAACCACCATGTCACTTGGCCGGCCCCCTTAGTGTCATCTTTGACGTTCCTACCCTGTTCATCTGGCTGTGACTGAATTCTGTTATTTCTTCGAAAACATCCCCCCTCTCCCCTCTCTCTCATCTACCCTTCTGAAATTCTAGTCCTGCTTTCCCAACTCAAGTCTACCGTCTGCCCAGTCTCTGGGCAGTCACACAGCCTCCTGATTGGCGATCTTGCCCTCAGTCCCTTGCTCTGCTGCTCCATCTCTTTCAGAGTCTCATGGGAAATTGCTATTCGTGCACATGTCTGCAGCACTTAGCAGGCATTATTCCATTGCACTCAGCCATGAGACCTAGGCATTGCTACCATCCCCACTTTGCAGATGAGGAAAGTGAAATGCATGGAGGTTGAGGAATTGGCCCAAGATTACACAGCTGTCCTGATGGAGAGCTTGGGGCCCCAGCCAACCCATGTTTGACTAGCCCCAAAGCCAATTCTTTGTCCAGGATATAATGTTCCCTCAAGACTGATGATGTTTCTTAAAATAGCTGTTATGCAAAAATCCCTTCAAGTGGTTCTCCATGGGTTCTGGAGTATTCATCCAAACTACTTAGCCCAGCATTTAATATTCAGCTTTCAGCTTTCTGGCCTTACCTTTCAACATTGCCTTCCATAGGCCCAGCTAAACTTATTTGCCTGAACTAAGCTTGCATATTCCCACATCTATGCCTTTACACAGATTGTTTTTCCCAACTTGCAGTGACCTCTCTGCCCTTCTCCACTATCCTGTTTTGTTGAATTCTTTCCATCCATCCTCCAGACCCAGAAAAGATTCCAAAATCTCTTTTACGTCTGCTCTGATGACCTCAAACCACATTTTTAAACCACCACAGCACTTTTTCTTTTTCTTTTCTTTTTTTTTATCTATGCTGATCATTTCATAGAGATTTTCCAATATCGAGTTAAGGTTGGTTGCACCTCAGAAGTCCATCATGTAACATCTTTTGAACTCAGAACATATCTGATCTATAATTCTAATACTTAAATGGCTAGGTATTCATGGATCTGGACTAATATCAATCCAGATCTTCAAAAGTATGTAAAGGAATTGCTTGATTCTTGGAAAACATTTTTTTTCCATAGAAACAAAATGTTAAATTCATGTTCTGTATGCCATCTTTATATACCAGTATATACCATCATTAAAAATGAGTACATAATAGTTTAACATACATATTATTTATTGTGTTCATTTTTCTTACCAGGATGTAAATTCCATGAATCTTACTTGATTGCTATATTCCCTGTGCTTAGAACTATGGTGGTTACACAGTGTCTTCCCAATCAGTGGTTCCTAAATGAAATAATAAATTGGTAACCCTGGAAATAACTTATTTAACCATTCCACAGTTTTACTATGTGTTTCTTTTTGGAACAAGGTAGGGCATGATGAGAAAATAAGTAAACTGCTAGAGACTTAAGTCTTTAATTTTTCACTGTCGTAAACAATCTCAGTGGTTCTTCCTTGGTATAATTTTTACTTTTTTCCAGATTCTAAAATTAGATTTAATCTCAAATTAATGAAATTCTAGGGAGTTCTCTTTTAAAGTATATTTTTATTGTCTTGGGAAAATCTTTATAATCCTTATATACAGCCTGACATTTAGGCAAGCAGTGAAATCCTGCCAAGGATTTCATTTCTTCCATATTTTGAATGATTGAAGTGACGGAATGGTGCAGCTTATTCTAAGTTAAGGTGCTAACGACATCATTAAACTTAGTGTGACCAATATTCCTTGAAGATCATTTTTGCTTTCATAGAATTTTCTCATCTATTATACCATCTCAGTTCCTACTCTAAGTCAGGAAGTTATGAGAAACACTTGACAGGCTAGGAAACTGCTACTAAAAAATGTAAAATAAATCAATGTCTCCTGAATCAACTGACTTGTGACTCCCAAAGTTTTTGATCCTTTGCCTTGAATTGAGTTCATTCACAAAGTTCTCTTTCTATTCTGTTAGGAAGGGTTTTAAGACCATTTCTAGATTTCTATGCTACCTACATACACCATTTGTGTAGAATAATCACAATTATTAAGAAGTATGAATGTAATATTTACTAGATAGAAGGCTCAATGGATAGGTAATATTGGACAATGTCCCCACCAGCATGATGTTTTATGGTGTAATTTTGTTATTTAAAAGGCAAGTTAAAATGTAGGTCCCTTCTAGACATTTTTTTTCTCTTCTTCCCTCCAACACTTTCCTTCCTTCTTTGCACTACTTTTCTCCCTGATGTCTTCTCTTTCTTCTTCTGTATTCCCTACCCTTCTGAGCCACTTTACCTTGTTTTCTCTATAGGGAAGGAGATGGGGCATACAAAGGTGCTGAGTCTCTGAAAAGGGGTGAGAGCGATGGTGGAAGGGCACTGGCCTTGCCAGTACTCTCTTCCCCGCACCTCCATCGGGTGCTTCCCCCTCTGAAGGAATTTAAAAGCCATTAATAGCCAAGAGTTTCCTGGAAGAACAACAGCAGCACTTGAACAGCCCACGTAGGCTCCATCCTGAGGCAGATGCTGCTAAGAGGATGGACCTAGATGTGGCCTGGCCTCCAGATGAATTGCTTCCCATGAAATATGCAGATTCTCAGTCCTATATAAAGATTCTCATAGTAGTTACCTCTCATTTGTTTTATGTTTACCAAAAACGTCAAAAATCCCCCAAACACAACTTTCTATGTTATTTGACCCAGCTAATCCTTAGCCATGTTTAACAGTGATGTTTTGCTGTCTATACCATATTCGTTACAATTCAGATCTTTGAGATTTAATGAGAAACAAAGGTAATGTAAGTGAAATTTTCACTGACTGCCACAAAAATAGGAACAATCACTTTATAATTATATAGATTAATACACATGCCCTGTTGCAGTCTCTTCATAAACAGTATATGTGCAAAAGTCATCACATAACTGAGAGCCATGTTCTAAATATTTACTGAGTAAATAATACTAATAACTCAGTATTCTTGACTGTTATTTAATTTCACGTACTAAAGGTCAGTTTTTTTGTGATATTTCATTATGCAGATCTTAAACAAATTCTCTCTTATTCAAATACACCAAAACACTAAAAATAAAATTAAAAATCATTTCCTCGTTCTAAGTAGTTCAAACAGAATGAGTTTCATGCCCACATGATGCTACTGCTGCTGGGCTATGGAGCACACTTTGACAATCTTTGGTTTTGTTTACCATAGCATCTCTTAATAGATTTTAAAGGAATCATGCACTGCCACATTGTTAGTGAGCTAAATTGGAGATAAATATGTTCATCTGACTTTGTATTCCATCTTATTTTTCTGAACTTGACTTTGACTCCACCCGAATTCCAAGCAGCCACCTTGTAAACTATTTTGGGAACAGGTAAACAGATTTCTAACATAAAACCGTACAATTGGTGAAGTTCCCTCGAGTATGCTATTTATGTGTCAAGGGCCACCTAAGCAGGAAAGTGAACACACACGATTTGACTGAGAGTTCAATGGCTCTCTACACTAATAGCTATTAATTTGAATGAGTGGGCTTTGAAGTCATCTAAAAATCATCAATGGTTTTATGGTTCTAAACCAGAGAAGCGACTGTTTTCTTTCATTTGCCAGTATCGTCATTATAAATATGAACATGGATCTGCCTAATCATATTTGCCATAATTGGGATTAACTCCCTTTTATTACCACCACCACATTCCCTGCCCAGTTCTAACATATTTTATTTCTGATTTTTATTAGACCTTGCACATTGCCAGTCAAACCTCGTGGAACTTAGCAAACTCTTGCAAAATTTGGAAATACTTCAGAGAACTCAGTCAGCACCTAACTTTACCGACATGCAGGTAAACATATGACTGCTGCTGGTAAAAAGACCTGTTTTTACTGGATTGTTCTGTGAATATGTAAAGTGACATTTAAAGGGAAATAACTATAATACAGATTAGTTTTTATTCTGGAGTTATTCTTAATATTTTTTAACCTTGGTGCCATTGTGTTAGTTAAGATGACTATTTTGAAATGTTTTACATTTAAATACTAACTAACCAGAAGAAATAAAAGTCTGAATCATTCTTTCATGTTTGTGTTACATTAGAAATGATAGCTCTGAAAATATAAAGTAGATACTCTCAAAACTATTGCCATCTTTTCATGTAGAGAAAAAATGCTAAAGATCTCTAATCTTGTATTCATTTTGTATAGCAGAAAAGTTTATTTTATGATTAAGTTCTTGTCTCTGCTTTTAATACCCATTATGCATCAGATATATCTTTCTCCCCTGGCTGGTTTGCTTTAGGTGTCTAACAATGATTCTTTACTAACTTGTTTTACTCCCTTTGTCTATACCTGTATCACCTGTGTGAACTTAATAATACTTTGTTGCTTTTAACTATTTGTGTAATGTAGGCTAACTGTGTAGATATTTCAAAGAAAGACAAGCGGGGCCCAAGACGATGGCGAACAAAAAGTGTCAGCAAAGATACAAAAATACAACTGCAGGTACAGACTTTACTTTTCCTTTGTACATATTATTTACATACTTTTATAGTCTTTATGTATCAGTTTATAGAAGTTAAAAAGTTTACAGTAGCTTAACTGCTTTAAAGCCAGTGCTTTTCAAACTGAGTTATATTATCTAAAATAGTGGCAAATCTATTCTTACTCTTGCATAAGTGAAACCTATTTAAAATAAAAGTTAAAACTATTTAATATGGCTGCAAAGTGGCATTTTCATTCTCAAGTGTAGCCTTTGAACCATTAAAATATATTTTAACAAAAAGTCACCTTAAAAATTTCAACTAAAAATCCAATGGGTTGTAATGAACGTTCATTTATGTATACTAGATCTTAAAATAGCCTTTTATTTGTTTGCTTTGTCCAAACTTTTATCTATCAATAAAATAGTGTGGGCTGCAATAGATTCTAAATCAACAAACTTGGGATCTAGTCTAATCACTGTGATTTCCTGGCAGTATACTTTCATGCATTTCTCTTAAATTTCCTGGGCTTCTATTTGCTCCTCAGTAAAGTGAAGGAGTTAACTTAATGATCTCTAAATTCCTTTCAACTCTAAAATTCCATGATTCTACAAAAATAGGTATTATTTGGCCATCAACAATCACTTTTAAAGTCTGAACTAAAGTATTAATAGTCATAATAAATTTACTTGAAATTTATTTTGAACAAGTTATTTATTCAAAATGAGTGATTTTAAATTTTAAAATAAGATCCTCTTGTTATTTTATTGCAATGATACTAAATACGGTAAATGCCTAAAACCTCTTATGTCATAAATCATATTACTTTCAGATCCTTAAACTAGAATCCCTCTCTACTTCTCCAATCCTGTGTATTATAAAGGACTCTTACCCTGCACAATCAGAATTAGACTTGTGACTTTGTTTTTCTTTTTATTGCACTATATATCAATTCATATTCTAATACAAGAGAAAAAGAACTGCTTTTTGAAATTCCTCAATGTCTTCTGAATAAATAACAATTAATCTTGAATTCTGAGTGTATTGACAACATATTTTTGTTGTTGTGATTCTGAACGTGTAACTAACAAACCCTTTGTTCTTTTGCTTGTAAGCTGCTGTATTTGTGAATAAATTGTCATAAGCACTGAAGATCCATGGCTTTGTTATTTAGAATGTCCACATTCTACAAACACATTTTTTTATGTTCCTTTGTTCAATATGTTTTTGTGTGTTTTCTCCTCTATTCAGAAAATTAATACTGTGGAGACAAATGTGCCAAATGACTTCACAAGAAAATTACCTAAAATTGCTTTTGGCAGTTTCATTTGTTTGAAGCATGTGATTGTCTAGTTTTGTGGCTGTATTTTTTTAAAGCATGGCATCTATGATTACTATAGAAAAGAGCCATTATAAAAAAAAATTAAAGAAGGCCAGGATCATGATCCTGTGATTAGATATTATTTTATTTAGCTATACATTTGTGATTAGATATTATTTCGGTCTTGTTTTTAATAAAGTATGCCATTGAACAGATTCCCATTCACAGCAGTTGTCTCGAATAGATTGGTTCTCAGTGAGTCTGAGTGCAACGCCCCTTACTGCCCTGCTGTGGCCACTAGGCCAACCATAGCCCCCATATCACTCAGTTTGTTTCTGAAGGAAATAGAATGCAACTCTGAATAGTTTACCTAGTCACAGGCTATGCTTTTCAATGTGCAGAGAGTTCATGAGAGTTTTTTTTTAAGTAATCTGAAGAAATTATTCAAAAAGCCCGAAAATATTCTTCATTCATACTCCTGCATATTTTTGGGTGGCTTGTTTTTAACTTTTTATTTATGCTGTTTTGCTTTGTTTTTGTTTTGCCAAAAGAATAACAAAATGACCCTTATGGTTCTAGTTTAATTACTTTTGAGGGAAATTGAAGTCAGCTCATCCCCACCCTCAAAAAAAAACTTTATATTTTTAGAAGTAGATTTTGTTGTACCTCCAAGTGGGAATAAAAAGACTTAGGGCTGGCACTAGGCTATTAATCATTCCCAGAGAAACCCCACTGCCATGTGGACTGGTAAAACCATTGGTATGGTATGGGGAATTCTGCTGAGTTTCGTACCTTCCCTGGACCTTTACTGCTCAGCCAAACCAATAGACCTTCCAAGATGCCTTAGGATCCCCCATTCTCTATGACTGAGAAGTTACTTGGAAGTTTCTTCAACATGCGCACTTGGCTGGGGAATCATTAGGTCAGCCAAGATTGACTTATGACCAATATAAATGTCATTACTCATCAGTATTTTACCAGCAGAGAGATATAACATTTATTTGTACTGTAGTGGATTAAATATACGCACCATCTTTTCCCACCCTAATATACAGGTTTTTTCCCTCCTGTTTTAAATATTTCTTGACCATGGGAATTCTATCCAATGGTGCCAAGTATTTGTTTTGAGCCCACAATCATCTCACTACTTGAACCACTTTCTCTGATGGTCGCTGTTGCAGCCAACTTAAAAGACCTTGTAGCGAGTGGCTCATTTCTCATCCCCTCTATTGTCTGTAACTTTCAGAATACCAGCCATTTGTGAAGGAGCCTAGACTGTCTGGCGGCGGTGGTGGTGGTGGTGGTGGTGGTGGTGGTTATTGTTGCTGCTGTTGCTTTTATTGGTGTTTTCACTGACCTTTGCATTCAGCATTCTGTAGCTGTTATCATTTCGAAGTAATTTTAAAACATATTGTTTAAAATATTGACCCCAGGAAAGTAAAAATGAGCACATTATACTGGATGTGTGATGGCTTATTCTTGCATCGGTTAGATTGTGCTATTGACTTGAAAGTGAAGGTTATATTTTGGACCTGTAGGCCATATTTCCAGTAGAAACCATTGGGAAGCTAGCCTCAAGAACCCATTGTGTAACTCGCTGGAGGCAACAATTGTCCTAGAAGGCTCTGTGGAGATTACTTTTTAGAAAAGGGACTTTTGTCCTCCCAAACTTCAAATGTTCTCATTCTGATAAAAAGCTCAGTATTCTCATTGTACAGTAACAGTTGGGCTGTTTTAAATGAGGTAGAGGAAGGCAATAAGAGAATGATTTTTAAAGGATTGCTGTGAAAGAGAGAGCTGCTAGATTTCCTGTGTTGCTGATAGCATGAATTAAATACTAGATCCCTAGTTGTTGGAGAGAATGAGGAATAATAGGAAGTATGGAGTATTAGATCTGATCAGATCTGATGTCATTCATGTGTAGCTATCCAAGATCTCACAGATGTTCAAATTACATTGTAGAGTCAAAATAAGTTCTTCCTTCCTTTTTACTACATTAAACATACAGGGATTTTGTATAGAAAATTTTATTTGGTGGAAAACAGATTATGTATGTATGTGTGTATATAATAAACATATATGTATATAAGATTTATGAAGATGGAAGAGAAATGTGAATGTAATTTGGCAAATATAAAGAGAATTAGAGACATAAGAATTTTAAATATTTTTCTGTTGTTTCAAAAAGACTAAAGCAGTCTTGCTGTTTTTTCTCAATCTGTACTGTTAGGTAACTGTTGAGTGCATCTCAGTTAATTGGAATTGAAATTATTGCTCACAACCATAAAGAGTCAGGATCTGTCAAATGGAGGCAGAGTTGAGTGGTGAGAAGGAAATGTCATTATTCCTTAATCCCATTCACCAAGAAGAGAAAAAGAAAGAAAGAGAGAGAGAGAGAGAGAAACAAAGAGAGAGAAAGAAAGAAAGCTCAAGGATTCTTCTACTGGTTTTTACACTGCATGAAACCTATGCTTTCACGTTTTCATAGTTGATTTTTGTAGGCATTGTCCCCACGCACTGAGAAAATTGAGGTTTTCTTCTTATGCTATGGAGACTGGCTTCCTCCGTGGAAAATTCTTCAATTTGAAAATCCCAACACCATTCCTAATGTTGAATTCCAGAGAGCTTTATGGGACGGGGCTAAATGGGGAATCGAAGATTCCTGCTACCCTTCCCTTACTTTCTCCTCCCAGCAAGAAACAAAAAAATTTTGCCCATGACAACCTGTTCGTTTTAGCTTTTGCATATTATTTATTGAATCACTTTTTTCTAAACTTATTTTTTCTTTGCTTCCATTTGTTGAATGTCTTTGACTTCCTATGACATGAGATTGCATGAATAAAACAGAATGCAAATTTATTTTACCTTCAAATCTCAAGTTATTCATCAGTTCCCACTTTTCCTCTCCTTTTGGGGTGGGGGTTATAATTAGCAAGTAGATTTATGTGTTTGGGTGACCTGTGATGAGAAGGATGAATTTTTCTCACAGCCTGAGTGCCCCTTCGAGCTCTTTTCAATGCTAAGAATGGGGAAAAGTCAACTTCAGTTAAAATCTCTCCTTCTCCCTTGTCTGATTCTCTTTCGTCCTCCCACATCCTGTCCTCTCTCTCCCTCATCCCGTGTTTTCTCCCCCTCCTCTTCTCTCATTCACTGTCAGGAAGGGCCATCTGTGAAGGGCCAATTCAGCGCAACTCGGCGCCGGCAGAGGCTAGCAGCAGCAGTGGCTACAACAGTGAGTGGATTTCAATCTCAAGTGGACATTTAATAAGAATGAGAAACTGTGTATGAGTGTCACCTCCTCTGTCCTAATGGTGCCACTTGCGTGTGACAGCATCAACTGTGGCCCAGTCCTGTGCTGGCATAGCTTTCGCATGTTCTGTGGCTGCCTTTGCATGGCAGGAGTTGCACATGGATATGGGTGTTTGCAATGGAAAACTATTACATCATCCAGGTCTCCCCTTCTACTGTCAGTGTAAGAAATACTGTAAATTCAAGGTTGTGAAGCTGAGTACAGCTCCTTGTAGTGTGGGATTTTCTTAAATAATACTGGGTTTGTGGGTGTTTTTGTTTTTGTTTTTGTTTTGCCATACTGATATTGGAACCTTTGCTAACTGATTTGTTTTTCTAAGAAAAGTCATGTTACTACAGACATAAATTGTGCTTTTTTTTGTAGCAATGTGACTATTTGAACAGGATGTGAGAATAAAGAAATGAGAGGGTAAGAAAAGGTGAATTTTGATGTCATCTCTAAATGGCTACACAAATTACACTTAGCAAGGAAAAATTGTTTTCTGGAGGGAATGTTGAGCTGAAAATCAGAAAATATAGTGTGGAAAAGAGAAAAACCACAAAGTTAAATGATGTTTTGTCCATGTCTAGAGGTTGGTTTGGTTTTTCTAAAAGAGAAAATAGGATGGATCTTAGAAGGGTAGAGGGAGTATTGAGGTAAATAAGGTCAATAACCCAAATTTCAAATTGAGTGGAAGGTATTTAGAATAGTGAACTGTCTGTGTGGAACATAAAATAGAACATGTAAATACAAGAACCTTTTGCTGGATAAAAGTAAATCATAATCTTTGTTTAATCTTTACATCCTATCAACTTTTTTCAATAAGAGTACTGAGTTAATAGCAACCATGGATGTTTGGTTTTTGTCTATTAAATAATATTTCCTAACTTAACAATAGTCTTGCTCTTGCTAGAGGTGGAGTATATTTTAAGATTGGAATTGCTGAAAAATATGACAAGTTTTTGGTTGCATTGTAGGAGAAAGGATACTGGTGTAAGGATTGTTGGTTTTCTATTTTATGATTGGCAACTGACTCTTGCATTTTATGTAGGTGCTTAGCTGGATTGTTTGAGAAACAGAATTGCTTCTGATTATGAAATGAACTAGTGACTTGGAATTTATTAAGAAACTGACTCTTAAGCTCACATTTTGTTAACACTGGAACAAATTATTGAAGTAGGTTTCATGGTTAATGTATATCTCAAGAAGGTACTCCAATGCAGGCATGTGGCAACTGCATAGTGACAGATTCTGACAATAGATACATGTGTAATCAGTTATATAATTCTTAAATATTTGTAATCTTTCATTTATAAAATGGAAAAAAATCAAATGATTATTAGAGAACAATATTGCAGTATGGAAAGGAAAAGTCAATCATTGTGTGAAAATACTAAAACTTCCTAAATAGTGTGCTACTAGGATGGCATGTAGGGAAGTGACTGTGTTTCCACTGTGTTCATTTCTTAATTGCAGATACATATAAGTGAATATAATAAAACTGGGATTAGAACCTATTTGAATAGAATGGGTTTATATTTTTTAAACTGAGAACAGAAAAGAAAACCCTTTAAAAAAAAAAAAAGGAAGTATTAATGTCCACTTCCCAGGGTACTTGTGACCACAGAAGTTAAGAATAATTTAGATGCATTTAGTCAGAAAAGTTACTGCAAACATTTAGCAATGAATTAGGGAATAACTAGGGGGAATTATTGCTGTAAATCCTCTAGGATTTATCAGTTTAACTCCACACCAGAGCATAGCAGCATCTAGCAGGACCTCCACTGGCTTCCTTGGCCCCCTCATCCATATCTCAGTGACCTGATGCTGGCGACTCAGGCCCCTGTTTCTTTTACTGCAGTAGTTCTCCTTAATCCCCAGTCCTTCCTTTTCCCAAAACTAAAGGTATCTCACACGTTTTGAGCCCATCCTGTCCTGCTAGTACCTTTTACCTAGAATTCCTCCAATGATTCCTAGTCACTCGTTTTATTTGCCCACTCGGGTGTCTGGCACAGCTGAGATTACTCACAGAGAAAAGTGCACCCAAGGAGAGGTTTCAGAGATTTATTTTTATTGATCCTTAGTGCTAACATCCAAATGGTCCCGTTGCAACATCAGCCAGACCGAACATAATAGGGGGTTTGAAAAGAGAAACACTGGTCTCTCCCCATGGACAAACCCTGAGAGTCCCAATGCAATCAGTACTCCCTACAAGGATCTCTGCACGCATAAGCAGAATAACAGCTGCAGGAGACTTTGCACATTGGCTCCATGAGTCATATACACTTAGATGTGCTATTGTGTGTTCTTTTTCATTCACCATTTACCAGTCACCATTTACCATTGCTGAATTTCAGTGCCAGTAGTTCCACTGTCCATCCATGTCTCTTTTAACTTCTTTATAGACAGGTGTTAAAAGCATCTCCTAACATCACCACTTCAAACTGGTTATTGGTACCAGAATGTTTCTGAATCAGGCTTCCTCCATGTCACAGGATTTCAAGGAAACCTTGGGTTTTGTTCCTGAGCAGGGTGTAAAGGCCACACCCAGCATTGAGAGCTGTAGACAGCTCCTACTCCAGCCATCACTGACAGAGAGCCTAGTTACCACTTACATTTTTTTAATCCTGTAATACCCCGATTGATCAATAAAAAATTGAGTAAATAAGTCCCCAGGCTGAAGAGATATTCAATTAGAACGAGATGAATAGATCTCACTTTGTAGTTTCAATTTCATTTCATCAATTCTTCTGTTAAAATGACCCATTCCATATACTTCTTTTAACAACAACAAAAATATCAAAAGAAACATTTTCAGTTGGAAGCACATAAAAGTTAATTTTCAGTATCCCAGGGGCCTGATTTCAGTTTGAATGCAGCATTCCAAGTGTCTTTCCCTATGGGTTATATATGCAAACCCACTTTTACTGGTTTCATTGTCAATTTAAACTTCCTTTATGTTCAAAATATAAATTTGTAACTTATGTTTTTCTTCTGTCTGCTTCCAAATCTTAATAGACAGGCCATTACCTGAGGGATAAGTCTGGGGTCTTACTGGACTCTCTGGGCCTCAACTGTATCTTGTCCTCCCATCGCTCCCTGTCCCCTAGCTGTCATAGCCACCTCCCTACCCACAAAGCAAAGAGACCCGTCTCTTACACCATGCCAGTCCTTGGGGTGTTAAAGGCACCTGAGTGCAAATAAAACCCTTTTCCCTGATCATCAACACATTACATTCCCCATCACTAAACACCCACATTCCTTTTTCTTAATGCTCTTCTAGGCTCTTGTATCAGGAAACATATGCTTAAATCTGAAAACTCTCCCCGTGACCTCCTAATCTCCACCACCCTTTCCATGGATTCTCTGTGTCCCTCCGAGAGGGCTACAGGTTGACTGCTCTTTCTAGATTTAGCATCACCACAGTTAAGGCCAGAACATTTCTGTCTTCAAATATTCTTCCATATAAATCCCATTCCTCAAAAGACCCCAGTCATTGTTATCACAAGGTTACCTGGCTAGGATTCCAACAAATTATTGAACCCAAGGATACCATTGTCTCAGATGGCTTATTTGCTACTTTTATATCTCTTCTCTGGAACAGCCAGAAATTCTGCACCTGATAAGATAAAAAAGTTGTTGACATTTTCCAGCCCAGACACCAAATTCTTTGGATAACATGCATTATTAGCACACTTAGCATAGCTGAATTTAGGTGGAGAGCTTTATGCTCACTTCCTTTCCCAGTGGGCCTTGGATATCATTTTAGATAGATAACTCCCCAAAGCTACATCTGAGGCACCCTTGTCCAGTCTCAACTGCCCTTCCTCATATCCACAAACTGCAGCTTAGGTCAGAATTGTTTGGGTCTCCAACTGTTCCGTCTATCCTCTGTATCTGCCATGTATGCTAGTTTGTGTTCATTCTCTGTCTTAAAATATCAGGAAGTTTAAAACAAAATCAAAAAATGAAAAAAGAGAAGTGGTTCTGACATACATATACATCAGACAAGACATTGGTTCCTTTCTCCTACACTCCTACAGCATAGTTCATGTTAAATAGAGGGTGTGAATTATGCTTTAATTTTTACAAAATTTAGTGAAGGAGTCTAAGAGTCTGATTCTTGAAGATAATTGAATGAACATCTGTGATTTAGAATTAGGGGAGGTTACTGGTGATCTGATTTACAAGAGAAATTGATAGTCTCATTTCCAAGAATGTTTGGTTGACAGCATTTGTAATAGGTAGAAGACTCTAGAAAGAGAGAGAAAGGTGCTTTGCCTCCACCCATCACAAACCTAGCCCAGATCCAGCCTGGGCAAGGAAATACTTCTAGCCATTGGGAAAATCTATAGTAATATGACTTTTTTTACTTAACGCTTTTCTATCTTGGCCAGTTCATAAGCCATATTCATATATGTAGCAGAGTTGTGTGTAACATACTAAGGTAAACTATAGTAATTTATATAATATCAATTTCATTTACAAATATATTTTGATAAATCAATTTCAAATTCCATTGTGGATCTCTTTAAGCCATTATTATATTTACTATTAAGCTTATTTATATCTAATGGCTATAGAGCAAGTGAGCCTTTCTGCATATGTGCCTCTTGAATTTTTACCTGTTCAGTGGGCTCTAACAGAATTAAGCATAAAAACTCCTCTGACACAAGGACCCAGACTTTGTAAGAGAAGGTCAGCCATGTCGCAGTTCATACTAGTGTTTTCTGGCAGTAATTTTTTAGATGCAACTGTGGATTCAGAGCTGAAGCTTATCTGGGATTAAACGTGTTATTCCTGTCATTCTGTAGTCATCTCTCCCTATACCCGTGAAAAGCCATTGAGTCAGTGGCAGTCCTAAATCAACAATGGAAAATGAAACTCCTTGCCACCCTGACCACCTGCAGAATAAATGAGCACTGAGTGTCTCGTGTCATCAGAGAGGAATCTATTATTTTGAAGAAGGGAAGAGGTCTTTTCTATGTAAGGGAATGTGGAACAGTGCACTGTTGCTCTTTAATAATTTGTATCTTTTCCTTTCAGGTTCCTTTCAGTGCTACCATGTCACCAGTTCGCTTGCATTCCTCCAACCCCAACCTTTGTGCAGATATTGAATTTCAGACTCCCCCTAGCCACCTCACTGACCCTCTGGAAAGTTCAACGGATTATACAAAACTTCAAGAAGAATTTTGTCTAATTGCACAGAAAGGTAACAACAAATCTAACGTGCCTTTTAGAGAAGCTCTCCTCTTTGATGAGAGGTTGCCATTTATACTTTTATCCTTGTCTAGGTAGTCAGTGGAAGAAAGATTAAATGGCTTGTATACTGGTTGGAGTTCTATCTACAGAACTTAGCGGGATATGATGCCTGCTTTTTGGGAGAACACACATCATAGATTTGCAGTTGTTGACTGAATAAAGAAAGTGTCACTGAGGGGAAAGAAAAGGAAGAAAGACAAAAAGAGTTATCCCAGGCAGGTCAGGAGACACTACTACTCAATGTCTTTTTTTTTTTCAGTGTCTTTTAGTTATTTAATACGTAATTGTGGGTTATCCTTAGCAAGGAGGAAAAAAAAAAAAGACTCTGTTGGAGCCTTCCTCTTCTCTAATTAAACAACACTCACTGGAGCTGCTGGTGGGAGGCTGGATGGCTCAGTTGGTTTAGAGCGCATACTCTTAACAACAAAGTTGCCGGGTTCGATTCCCGCATGGGGTGGTGGGCTGTGCCCCCCCACCACAACGGAGACTGAACTTGGAGTTGATGGGTCCTGGAAAAAACACACTGCTACTCAATAAAAATTAAAAAAACAAAACAAAAACAAAAAAACACTCATTGATTTTTCTTTACAGCTTGTGGTTCAGGAATTTCGGGAGGGCTCAGCTAAGCAGTTCTGTGCCACACGGCATTGACCGAGCTCACTCAGTGCTATTCTGCTGGAGTCTGAGCTGAAAGGTCCAAGGTTGCTTCACCATGTGCTTGGCATGGTGTTTGGACAGCTGGAAAGCTACACACAGCTGTGTCCCTCTACCCTTCCATGCCAGCTTGGGGGTCCAAAAGACTGGAGTGGACTGGAGTGGAAACTGCTGGTCCTGTTCGAGGCCAGCAGTGGAACTGACACAGCATCACATTTCCTGCTCAGAGCTACAGGCCCGCCCAGATTGGAGGGGAGGGGAAATCGACCCCACCTTGGAGTCTCTTTTCTAATGTTAAATTTTCCGTATAAATTCAATTGTTTCCATCAGCCACAGGGAGTAGAATATAAGTGAGAAGCAGGATAGTATAGTAGAGTATAGGTAGACTGAGCAGCCCTGTGTGTACCAAGGAGAACCTCAGCTCTCATATTAATGCCCCCACTTATTGCTATAATATTTAAATTTCAGCCACTGAAATTCATTTTTTGACTTGTTAATACCTTCCCAGGCATTTTTTTCATGAAGAATCTCTTGAAGAAGGATATACATTATGGTATTTTCCAGTCACTAACACCTAGTTGTGAATTAATCACATTTATTTCTCCCGGGGCTGCTGGTAATGGGTTATAAAATATTCTTGATATTCTTGAAAATGTGTATTAAGTGGAACATCTCAAGTGCCACCCCCTCCTAATACTCAAGATCCTGGTGGCTCAGGAAAAGAAGGGGTGCACACCGAAGGCACCTCTGGGAATGCTGAAGTCAACAAATATTTATACTCAAACCATCAGCACAGACGTGCTATCTGATATTTCCTTAATTCCATAACCCCAAAACAAGTGAATTTATCTTTCCCCTTTTTTATGTAGATTTCTCAGTTGAGATTCTGTGAAGCCAACTCTCTTTCACTGGCTATTTTACTCCTAGTACATTTTTATTAACTTTTTAACCTGATGCTAATTATGTCATTAGATGAGAACAATGTTATCTTGTTTATATAAGGGCACAGATTTACAGCCAGTGAAGCCAGTAACATTTACTCATATTGGTGAGTTGGGGAGGGGGCGGGTATAGGAGCAGATAGAATGAGACAAGAAATGTGTGAGTTAAGTGCAGTGCAGCTGCTATAGGGAAATGGAGAAATTTGAAGGTAGCCCCAGGAAAGCTTTGTGTATTTGGTTGCAATCCTGAGGTTTTCATGAAATCCAAGTTTCAACAGAATTTGAAAGCCTCTGTTGAAATAACATATTTTCTTTTCAACTGTGTTAGAAAAAAAGGGGGTTTTCTATGACTGTTGAGCAAACTCTTTAAAAAGAGTTATGGATTTTGAAATGAGTGAGCATCTGCTTTTAGAGCTGCCAGTGGGGTTAATGTATTCCAGCTATCAAATTATTACCTTTAAATTGATAATTATGAGAATGTAGCACATAAATCAATATATTCTGAGTCCCTTATGATCCCTCCATTTTTACCCTTTAATTCAGGCCACTGTTTGATGCTAACATTGTCCACTGCTTTTAAAAATAACCTTTCTCAAATAAGGAAATACCTATTTTAGAAGACCTTGCGTAGTATAGAAATTCTATTATTGTAAAGATAGGAGTTGGAAATTCAACCTTTTGTAATTTAAAATGAAAGACTGCCTCAGATTTTACCAATGTATGTTGTTAGGTATGCAGGCATTGGAAAGGAGGTTGGTGTTATTATAGTTACTTTTAAATCAGAGCATTTCTAACATCAAGATGTTCCTGGCTGAGAAAGCAATTCAAGTATTGTTCTTAAGACCAAATCAGTTCCTGACTCAAAGAGAACTAGCTAGAACTTTCTACATCAGCTGCCTCTTTATGTTGGCAGGATTCACAAAGTGCTCTTTTTGGGGGGTGTGCTTTTGGGAAATAATGTTTGGATAGCCGTAAATGATGTGCGTATGTCTTCGTTATACACAGAACTGCTCAAATAGTCTCAACAACTATGGCGAAGTAAAACTTGTTCTTTTTTCCTTCTAGGAATTATATATAGATGAATTTATAAATATTGATATTTAGAATTGACATTGATATTTTATATGCTTCCAGGTCTTCACTGGTTTGTCTGGTATGAAATGTTAAAACTTTCACCCCGATTAATCACTATTACCATATTAGTTTCCTGTATAGATATGCTGATAGATTCCATTTTGAGGCTGGTTTTTAATTAGACCTTTCCAGAAAATGACTGTGCATGCGTTAAAGTGCTAAAAAGTTTATAATTTTGGATATGCTTTTAGGGTCCATGTGATTTTTGTCTCTCACTTTGCTCCCCGCCCAGTGCATTCTCTTTTGAAGTCTGCCTTTAATAGCATAGCTATCGAGAAGGAGAAGCTTAAGCAGATGGTTTCCGAGCAGGATCACAACAAAGGCCACAGCACCCAGATGGCACGGCTCCGACAGTCACTGTCGCAGGTAAATGAGAATGCGTGTTTCACGCTCATGGCACATTCCCAGCCCTGTAAGGCACGAGATGGGGGAGGAGGCAGTCCATCCTGGGCATGGCACATTCATCTCACAGCCTCTCAAGACATCCCAGTGTCAATATTAAAGCTTATTACTTTTCTTCCAAAAAAATGTCACAGCCAGAGAAAAACATCAATCAAAAACTTGTTTGCAAATATAGAATTATTATTTTGATTGATTGAATATTTTAATGCCTCTCTATGGTTATTTATAAGGCAGTCCCTGGTTTAAAAAAAAAGAAGAATCATGCATTTACACATCTAAAATATGTTACAGAATATATTGAATCCAATGTTAAAACAAAATCTACTAAGATCTTCCATATTTAATCATTTTTCCCCACATACATTTTAATCTGGTCAAAAATGACTGATTACTATTATATATTTTTTTCTTTTCTGATAAAATCTATTTTAGCTATTTCTTTTCTTAGGATTTTCTTCCTAAGTTATGCTCCCTGAAACTAGACTTTTATATATTTAATATATATTATATTATATATTATTGAATATATATTCATTATATATTATATTATTCAATATATTATATTGATCTTAAATCTCTAGGTATATTAAAGTTAGAATTTCTGATAAAAATTCTTTAAAGCTGTACTTACGCTCTTTTACACTGAAATAAGTATTTTATTCCTTTAGTCTATAAATACACTTTTAAAAACTCCTTTGAGAAGTCAATGTTGTTGTACGATTTTGTGTGAGAACTCAGTGTTTATATAAACTATTGTTCACTTCCTGGTGCCTTGGATCAGAGTGAAGGAGCAAGCAAATCCTGGGTAAGTGACTTTCTGTGTGGATCAGCTCCTGCTTGAACCGTTTCCCTTAGTCCCTAGAAATTAGACTTAAAGCGCCTCGCCATGTTTTATGTACCTGAACTGTCAGCTTACTTTCAGTGTGAAGTTTCATGGTATTGAGTGCTGTTATCTGGACCACACTTTCTGCGTTCACCATAAAACACTGCCCAGTGAGGTGCCTATGCTGCTTCCGGTGCAAAACTACAGACTGGGGAGCATGGGCATTGAAAGCAGCAGCTGTCATGCCAGCCTGTGGAGCACTTTACTCATAAGCACTTTAGTAGTTTGCCCTGCACTAGTCTCATGTCTTGTATCTGTTGAACACTCCATCAATGGTAATTGATCTGAATCATTATTCTGAACGTTTCATGATTCAGAAGGTCAAAATAATGATGAAGTAAACATGCAAATGTCATCTTGCAAACGTTTAAAATACACTTGTCCTCCCACCCATGCTGCAGCATTGCCTTCAAATGTATTTAATACTGGAGGCTTCATGATATAAGATAAACGTACACTAAGAAAAACAAGAAAATATGTTTCTTTCTTGCTTGCTTGCTTGCTTTTATTTGCTTGTTGGTAAGAAAGAGAATGGTAAATAGAGATATGAGTTGGGTATCAGGGTGAGATTAGAAATGGTCATGAAGAGAAATTTTAAAAGTTACTCATTTGGTCATTCCTTTATTCATTGCGTTTCATTCAACTGGCAGTATGTGAGGCATGGTACAAGGTGTGGAACAGCAACATAATAGTAGCTCTGGCCATGTTCCCAGGAAGCTCATGATCTGATTCGTGAGATGAGCAGTATTTACTCAGGAAATAAGTAAATGGCCTATGCTGTAGTACCCTCAGATTGGCACATGGGTGGTGCAGATTTCCTGGGTTCTGGTCGATCAGAGAAATAGAAGATCTCTGAGCTGTGAGCAGAGCCACAGATCAGGAGGAATTGAGCCTTGAATTAGGCCTAAGTAGACAGCCACAGTTCACGAGGAAAGACCTGACATTAACATGTTAAGAGTAAAATAAAGCAAAATTATATAAATTTTGCATCCTTTGAGTTAAATATTTATTTCTCTTGTCAAAACATATTTATTTGCATCTCAACTTAGAGCCTCAATAGATTTGGAGAGGGGATGTTATATTTATTTTTCAACCAAAAAGCTCAATTTCATCCTCAAAAGATGTAAAAATAATTTGGGACTTTAAAGATGGTTCATTTTACCCTATTCACTAGAGAATCCACTGCTTCCAACTATGTATCAACACAGCATTTTCCTATGTTCACACTCTTTGTGTCTGTCCATACCTTCCCATTGGGCCAGTCTTACCCTCATTAGCCATCTCATCCCATCACCTCTGAGGCTGGACTCTCTTTTGAAACTCACTACAGCCTTTTTTTGGGCATTTAAGTTTACTGTCAGCTCACTTCTTTCTAAGGAATCACTATCTCTGGTTAGACTACTGAAGAGGTATCTGGAGCAGTTAATTCATAGTGGCTAAAGCATGGCGTGAACAGGGAGAACTAGTCTAGGAGTCGCTATTTAAGTAGGTGGGAACCAGCTCATCAAGGATGACACAACAGAGTTTAGATTTATCTTACCAGTGCTGGAGAGGCCTTAAAGAATTTTAACTAGTGAGTGATAATTCGAGAAATTGGAAATGTTAATGTATATTTCTGTATATTAGGAAAATTATTCTAATACAGTATAGGAGATGGATGAAATTAAGGCAAAACAAGTTGGAGAGACTCTTTAAGCTATTCAAGATCATGCAGCCCTGACGTAAGGAAGTGCCAGGGTTGGTAGAAGGAGGGGATGGGTTTCAAAGATACTGAGGAGGAAGAGTCAGCATGACTTGGAGATCAGCTGAATATTAGAGTAGGACAAGGAGCCAGAGTCAAGGCTGCTTTTCAGGTTGTTCACTTGGATAACTGGGTAGATGATAGTTCCTTCCCTAATGCAAGAGGAACTGATTTGTCGACAGTAAATAATGAGTGTCTTTGTGTGTGTGGAGATTGAGGTATCTGTGGGACATCCAACATGCAATTAAATATGTAAATCTTGGGCTCAGGAGAGAGGTCTGGGCTAGGGAGAAAGGTGTGGATACCCAGTATATCACTGAAGTTGTAGATGTTGAGAAATTTTGTTTTCGGTCAGAGTAAAAGAGTCAATGGTGCTGCGATAGAGATCATTAATATTTAAAGAACAGGCTAAAAAAAAAACCAGAAAAGGTCCTTTGGTGGAGACCCAGGGGAAGCAGCTGAAGAATCTAGATAGTGAACCACTGAGATCAAGGATAAAGAGTTTAAATAATGTCAGGAAGGAAAAGGTTAACAGAATCTGACTTAGCAGCATATAATATATGGACTGAAAGTCAACCTTAGAATTTGGCAATCATTTCAGTATGTTTGTATCATGGGGGAAAGGAATCAACGGATAAGGAGACAATGAAGATGGGAAACAATTAACTGATACAACCATCCTGGTTGGCCAACTCTATTTTCAGTGTCCCTCTTTTAATATAGCACATAGTATTGAACAAGATACTAAATAGCTTAAACATGGAGATAATTGTTTTGAATATATTTTTATATTAATGTAACTTCACGTTATAGTGAGATGTGATTTTAGATAGTCTAAAGGCATCTTCCATCCATATTCAAGTGTCATCAATTAAACCCCCAGGTATTTTTTTTATGACCAGTTACCAAGCCAAGCCTCCCCGCAAAGAGTTAAAGAGAGAGACTGTGTTTAGATAACCTCTTAATCTAACATTTCTAAAGCATATTTTTTATTATTAAATTATTTTTTATTATGAAATGCACATTTTTTAGAATTAGTTTCAGCTGTACAACACAGTGCAATAGTTGTACTTTTTACCCCTCAAAGTGACAACCCCCCTCCCCCAATCTGCTGCCCCATTTCCCCCCAGTATCATACAT